TATCTATAGATATTTGTATATATATTCATGTATATATGTGAATATGTTGCGAAAACAAGTTTGTATGCGAATATGTGTGAGACTACTACAGCACAGTAAGGAAGCACCAAACCATATCGCACGTGACAAAACTCGTACCTCGCATGGGGTAGATACTGGACACCTTCACACAGAGATGCGCATAAAATTATCTATCAACATACCTGGAGCTTACCACAGGCTACAAGAGATCCCCAGAAGGTGATACTACCAATAGCCACTCCAAGGTAGATGATAAAGTTGTGAACTTGAAAGTCAAGTTCGGACTGAAAGTACTGTTCATAGTTCTTCTCATACACGCCCAAACTAGCGAGCGCCGCTGCAAGACCGCCAAAACTGTTCAGCAGTCCCACCATTTGCGGGATACTTGTCATCGCAACACGCTGTATAGTGAGGAAGATGTACAGTTAATATACTCAAACACAAGCATGTATATACAAAGACACACGTTTGTAGAGTGCGTTTTTGATAGGTTCATTCAAGATTGCATTTTCACCACTCTGGCAGTTCTGTCCATAGCTAGTGCCCGGGCTTATACATTGCGGTACCTTGTAAGCACATGTCTGTACATGAAAGGTCTATGTCTTCACCCTCCCTTTCCAGTCTTACGAGTAACAGTACTAGCCTTCTGAAAGTACAACACGTCACGAAAAAGAGCACACTTGTCGCAGCCGAAGATACGTTTTGAAATTTGCGCGGCCTGTACAGTCAATGAGAGACACACACTATGTGCCTGCGTACATAACGTGCATTATATCCGTCGATCATTTTTTTAGGACTAATAAGGACCAATATACCAATACACGAAGAACAATTGGCTACTGTCAGGGCCATCAATCGAGAGCCTTGCACAAGAAACAAGCGAGATGACACGACAACCCTATGAAGTAAGTGGGTAGACACTCTCACGCACCATCGACAGCAACGGACAGGTCAGTAGCCCAATACGTACCGTAGCAAGCAGGAGACCGATGATACCACCGGGGACGATTCCAACCACCACGGCCCACACGAGCACATCAGAGACACTCGCTATAGCGGCGCCGATAGCGACAGCCATGCCTATCATCCCCAGCACATTGCCCATCACAGACGTCTTCTGATGTTGTAGTCCTTTGATACTCAACTGTGGTACGCGGATTAAATTGTGGAGGTGTGGATGGAGTGCTGCATGTATGTGAAATCAGTCAGCCAGAAATGGATTGCTGGTGCCAAATGTACGTATCATTTGTATACCCACGTAGCTACTCTCCACGACGCTATCCCATGTCAAAGTACTCAGTGTTGCATGACAGGGACTCGCGTGACCAATCATCCGACGGGTATAAGATGTTACAACCACCTAGCACTCGCACTGGTTGTACCGCAGACTGCGGTACAACCAGTGCATGTGCGTGAACGTAAATTTCCGGAAAATACCGATCCGCCAAAATGTATATCCTCAAACTGTGTCCATTCTGATGATCATCTGTTTGCTTAATCCATACGACGCAAATTTATTTCACAAGAAGCTTAGGTCCCAATCAATGTTTAAAATAATACCACAATAAAACGATTAATGTGTGATTTACACACACACGAATGAGTACACCACACCCATAACATCCTCAATGTTTAATCTGTCACACCAAATTATCAATTCTGATCACATGTATGGCCTTCCGTTTGTCACGCCGGGCAAACAAATTACATCGATGACCTTTCATCTGCCATACCAGGAAAAAGGCTGCCGCCGGTACAAAGTACCATGTGCGCAGCTTCTCCCAGTCGTAGCCATCGTCCCAGTTGTCACTCATTGTTCAGTGATGGTATTTATGTCAAAATTCTCTGCCTTTCCTGATATCTAAGGTAACAAAAGTACGTAATTGTGGATGGAAGACGATTGATATTACATCATGTTAAGCATGTCATAATCGGCACAAGTCTTTATAATACGCGTATTTACCTGGTATTTTATCAATAAGAAGGCTATATATATATATATATATATATTATATAAGTATATATATATATATGTGTGTGTGTGTGTGTGTGTGT